CTTCTCTTGACGGAGAGAGGCTTATACAGCTTGGTTTGTCGAACAGTTATCACCTCCTGCTCCTTGGTCCTCAAGATGTTTCTTGAGGCCACGCATACAGGGGTGGCGGAAGTGACTAACACCATATCTTTTATGGTATCGAAATTTACCAGTCGTGAGGCTGTGTAGTTAAGGGATATATCCTTAATTTTACACACGACCTTCTCCTCGTTATCTCTGGTGGAGAAGACCTTGTATGCGTAGTTTTTTGATATGCGACACGTCATATTTTAAAAAACTCGCCTTTATTGAAGAAGTTTCAACACCTTTTAAAACTGATAATTATTTCAAATGTGATAACAGCATAACGTAAAACGTAATAACGTGATGTAAAACATGACGACACCTTATACGCGTAGTAAATTACTAGCTGAGACATGTCGGTACTTGTTCATTCTTCGCTGATCTGTTGAGGTGTACGGAGGTGGTGCTTGCGAAGTTAAGAATATGGGAATTTGGGCTGGTGGTCGACTTTCTTCCTCACGTTAGCGTGACAGGTACCGCTTTCATGCGGGAGAGTACAGCCCTTGGCGTCTGTAATACCAGTCCTAATAAGATAAGGGTCGTCGCCTTCAAGGGGCATGTATAGATAACGCTTTCGTTTGTGCGCATACGTGCGAACATATTTTTGTGGAATTGAGTTGCCGGGGCTTCCAACTTGCTGTTGTTGAGGCCCCATATGGCTATCAAAGAACCGCCCCCACCCTATAATCTCCGCGCTCTGTGACGTTTCCTTGGTTCAGTTGGTAAGTTTTTACGAAAATTACCTCAAACCGTAATTATTTTATGAAAATCTGTGCTTTACTAAATATATAGAAAAAATTACGTCAAAAATAATATAGAAATTTTTATGAAAAAATATAGAAAAATGAAAGTCAGTATTTTACGTAGAAATTAGATCAAAACTGTACTTTACTAAAAACGGAGAAATTACGAAAAATTAAATATGTAAAAATTAATAAAAAAATACGTCTTACTGTACTTATAAAACGGAGAAATTATATATGGAAAATTATTAAAAATTTTGAATATTTTTTTAATGGTAAAGAGTCATTGAAAGGCCGCTTATCATCACAACGGATCTGTTTAGTTTGAAACACAGCCGTCGAGATGTTTGAATGGCGCTGGGAGTACAGCGCGTATTTCCTATCACAAGACAGCCGTTTTTTCGTTTCGATAGCCCGAAGGCCTTTCGCGTTCACGAACGGATTTAAGTATTTTCGCGTTTGGCTGAACCCTTTTTTCGTTGGTAAGGAAAAATCCAATGATTACCCTTAGGTAATCGTTTAAGATAGATCCCTACACGACGCGATACAGATCTAAGCCAGTATAGAAGACTGTGTATTAAATCTGTATTTACGACGCGATCTGAAAAAATGCAGAAACTGGAAGCAACGACATGCAAGTAATAACTTACCCGTCGGATCTCCGCGTCTCTGTTGTTCTCTGATTTGCTTTTGGCCATTAAAATGATCTTCTTGTATTCGCGCCTTTCCATGCCGCTCTCAATTTTACGTATATTTCCATGTAGGACCATTCCTCTGCCTATAAAAATTAATACCTTAGATTCGATCGCCAACTTGTTAATGACTGTTAGTAGTTTCGTCGAAGGTAACAGTTTAATTGTTTTTTGGCTGATAAAGCTTTTTCATCACGTTTTGAATTTATGATTTAGTGTCTTTTTCTGTTGAATTAATATGATTTTGATTGATTTTTTACGATAAGTTATAGGTTTTTGATTGATTTTTTACGATCAGTTATAGGTTTTTGGTTTTTACCTCGTTTTTAAAATTTTTAAATTCTAAGTTTCTAGAATTATTTTACGGGGCATTTTAAATGATTTTATGATTTATTTTCGGATGCGGGTTTTTCCTGTTTTTTTTAAATTAAATTTGCGGGGTTTTGAAATTGAAATGATTTTTATCTGATTTTATGGTTTTATTTTCGGGTGCAAGTTTTTAGCCTGTTTTTTAAATTTATAATTTTTTTAATTTTCTAGTAAGTTCTAAGTTTCTGGTATTATTTAGCTGTAGATTTTGAAATAATATGACTAGTAAGTTCTAAGTTTCTGGTATTATTTAGCTGTAGATTTTGAAATAATATGATTTTTTATGAATAGTTTTAAATGATTTAATGATTTTTAATCGGTTTCGTAAAGATTAATGATTATAGGATTTTTAAAAAAATTTTCTTTTTTAATCTGATTTTATGATTTTCAGTTAGAAATTTTTGATATTTTCCTGTAGTTTCTGGTATTATTTAACTGTAGCTTTTTATGAATAGTTCCAAGTTTTTAATGGAATTTTTTCGTTAAGATTTTTAAGATTAATGGTTTTTTAATGATTATGGTAAATTATTATTTTTAAATATTTATTTTCTGTTAGAAATTTTCTAGTAAGTTCTAAGTTTTTTAATGTAGTTTAATGCTTTTAATGATTTTTAATGGCTTTTTTTTTGTGATTTATTTTCGGTTAGAAGTTTTTGATATTTTCTTGTAGTTTCTGGTATTATTTAACTGTGAATTTTTATATGAATAGTTCCAAGTTTTTAATGTAGTTTAATGCTTTTTAATGGAATTTTTCGTTATGATTTTTAAGATTAATGCTTTTAATGATTAATGCTTTTAATGATTATAGGAAAATTATTATTTTTTTAAATATTTATTTTCTGTTAGAAATTTTCTAGTAAGTTCTAAGTTTTTAATGTAGTTTAGATTAATGCTTTTTAATTGGATTTTTTAATGGAATTTTATGATTTATTTTCGGTTAGAAATTTTTGATATTTTCTTGTAGTTTCTGGTATTATTTAACTGTAGATTTTGAAATAATTTGATATTTTTATGAATAGTTTTAAATGATTTTTAATGGAATTTTTTCGTTAAGATTTTTAAGTTTAATGGAATTTTATTATTTATTTCCGTTTATAAGTTTTTGATATTTTCTTGTAGTTTCTGGTATTATTTAACTGTGGATTTTTATTTTAATGTAGTTTAGATTAATGCTTTAAATGGAACTTTTTCGTTAAGAGTTTAAGATTAATGGTTTTTAATGATTATGGTAAATTATTATTTTCGACTGAAAATTTTCGACCTGGTTTTTATATAGAAAATGTATGTTGACTTACCTTTCTTTATTGCAAAGGTATCCGTATATATATCACTCACAGGACACATCACTACACAGAACACAGAACAACACAACATGTGCACTTTAACGATTCAATTTTAAAAATGAATATTTTTGCTTCAAACAGTCTACAGGATGATGATAAAACTATCCTATAGTTTTTAAAACGGTCGCCTGCTGTCCGCGATATTTCTTATCACATCCGGACAGCGCTCATTACTTGTTATCATATCTACCAGGCCCAAGTTGCAATAAATTATTATTCACGGCTTTTGGTTTTCTTGATACAACTGTAATATTTAACGCAAATAACGTAACACTATTACATTATGTCTTGAACGTTTGAGATTCCGATGAAGAAGGATGTCCCTCCTCCTTTAACACATGCCGCTATTTCGCTCCTTTAGTTTAAGCACTTTAAACTGTTATATATCATTCCGGTATACGACGTTATTAGACCCATACCGCCAAGTACACCGCAGGTTACGATAATTCTACTGATAACGCCAAGAACACCGCAGGTTACGATAATGACGTCATCTACTGATAACGCCAAGAACACCGCGAATCCTCCCGACATCTACTGATAACGCCTAGTACACCGCGAACCCTCCGTCTGACGTCATCTACTGATAACGCCAAGCATATACGACGTTATTAGACCCGGCTACTGATAACCGCTAAGAACTCCGCGGCTACAAGCGCGGCCGCGTTGGGGGCCCGGGGGCAAAGTTCCTCGCGGGCCATACTCGGGCATTAGAGGCTAGCTTACGTGGGGAATCCTACGCGGAGCACCGGGAGCAAAGCCTTAGGTGACGCGGGGCCCCAGGTGGGGCGAAGCCCTAGAGGCAAAAGGGGGCCCCGGGTGGGTTAAAGCCCTAGGGGCAAAGTCCTAAATGAGGAATCCTACGTGGGGGATACCTGCATACCTACATAGGTATACTTGCATGTGGGGGGCAGAGCCCTAGCTGGCTACATTTTGAATTTCCCGCCAT